TTCCTGGTGGTATAAGGTGCAGATGCAATCAAGATATGTTAAGGATTGTAAAACATGGGGGTTCTATAGAGACCTAACAGAATTTGATCAAGTGATGCTTAAAACAGATGAGAAAATTATTAAAAGACTATGATTTTTTACTTGACAGGAAAATGGAAGAACAGGTTAAGGAAACTATGATAATATGGGCACAAAACTTTGGATTTAATGTTGAACTAGAAAAGTGGCAAAAACTATGGGAAAGAAACATTAAAGTAACTTTAGCAACTTCGTATAAAAAAAAGTATATAAAATGTTCTATAGATGGTATTTGTCACCAAGTCAACTAGCTAAGATGTTTCCAAATGTCAAATAGATGTTGGAAATGTAAACATAAAGTGGGTACTTTTTATCATATGTGGTGGACTTGTGACAATGCAAAAGAGTACTGGATTAAAATACATGGATGGATGGAGGAAATATTACAAAAACCCTTTGCTTTTAAATCCGAAGTTTTCTTGTTAGGCATTATACCGGAAGATGTTAACAGACAGGAAATCTATTTGATGTTGCATCTAATTACAGCGGCGAGGATTGCATTTGCTCAATATTGGAAAAGTGAGGAGCTGCCCACCGATGGATTGATTCTAAGAAAGATCTTGGACTGTGCAGAAATGGATAGGCTAACTTTATTGTTGAAGGAGAAAGAGGATACTGATTTCTATTGAACTTGGGACTCATTGGCTGGAGAAATGGGACTTGGCGTAAATTTAGAGATGTTTTTCAAACTATGATAAACTAACTGGAATTTGATATTAGAATGTTAAAAAATATGTAGTAGGAGGTTGACCCAGTAAATCCAATGTTAATGTTTGTGATGTTTGATTTTTTTTAGTCTTAGTTTAAAAATGTTAAAATATGAATGAATGAATGAATGAATGAATGAATGAATGAATGAATGAAATCAGTGTGGAAGGTTAGCCATAACTCATGTATGTTTCTCTGATTTTAATAGGAACTAATTGCAACTTAATCTGTATCCAACCCATTGTGATATTTTAATATACCTGCATGGGATTCAAATCCATAATTCCCATGAAGCACTACCCCACCATTTCTCTCTCTCTCTTTTTCTCTCTCCCTCTCCCTCCTACTTTTACACACATAGTCACATGCACAGGTTGACACATGAGACAAACTCTTCCCACGTACCACTCTATCTCAGCTTCTAGGGATGCAAGTGTTTAAATCTATAAGAACATAAGAAGACCAAAGGCCTAACTAGTCCAGCATTCTGTTTGCACAGTAGCCAGTTCAATGCCCCAGTAGGAAACCCACAATTGGGACATAAGTCCAACCTTACAGCAACCTTATGCTTCAAGCTTGGAAAGATAAACACCCACCACCCATCATCCAGGGGCCTGCAGTTCCTATTGTTCTCTCTGCATTTTAATTTGAATATCCTACCTCAATTTCTTCTGATGCTTCTTTGGATACATGGGATGCCTATTGCCAAGGTTGCCTATATGGGAAGGGGCAACTTTGAGGACCCTGACCAACTACAACCCCTTGGAATCTCCCAGGGGCTGAACCATTGTTGTCTGCTGCTGAATTGCAGTGGCAGTGGTGAAAAAACAATTGTGCATCTTGTTTTAAGGTAAAATTCAGGTTTTTTTAGGCCACTATCATGGTTTGTTGCTAATTATTTTGCTACTTTTGCAGCAGAAAATTTGAGATGGTGAAGGCCCCCTTGTGAGGCATGGTTGTGTCCCAGAATTACATATGGCCCATAGGTCACATGTTGCCCACCCCTGTTCTGCATGACATATCATGCTGGCTGGGGACTGCTGCAGCTGGTACAATTGTACGTGTAGGATGCTGCCTGTAATATTAAAACAGCTGCAAGTGGATTCATAACACACTCATTCTGCCACAGAACCTGATGAGAATCTGACCTGTATAAGCTGATGATGCTATTGATTTTTTATCTAGATCATCTTGAATCTTCAGAAGAACTCTTTCCTGCTGAAGAGCTTCTATGTACTTCGAATAAGTCCAGGACATCTGCAAGGCCAATTCAGAATTCAAATAAACAAATGAGGTAGTTATGGCATACAGATCTGAGATTGTTCCTGCAGCTTATGAGCATAAGAACCTAAGAAAAGCCATACTGGATCAAACAAAAGCTCCACATAGTCCAACACTCTCTATATATGGTGGCAAAGCAACTGGGCACAGGATCCCTCAAGTAGGATGGGTGTAAGACCTCCAAGCTTGGATTTGTCCAAGTTCTTCAACAACTGCTATAAACAGGCATGCTACCTCTACTGAAGGAGCTAGCACATAGCCAGGAAGGCAGTTAGTTGTTCAGCTCCTTCATCATTCAAAGACAGCAACTTCTAAGCCCCAAAGAGGTGAGTTGTATGTGAATATACAGTTATGAGCTTGCATGTGTGTGCATGTCCATGCCCTTAGCAGAGCTCATCCTTGGATGGCCAAAAATAGTGAGCATCCCTGTACAAAGGAATGAAATCGACTGGATCAGAAACTGCTTGCTATGTCACTTAATCAGTTTCTGCAGATCATTGATTTATATTGGACTTGGGGAAGCACTGCAATTAGGAATTAAGAAATAATTGGCAGTCCCCATATCTATTGTCTTTGCATAGATATTAAAATATCAGTCCTGATTTGGGGCTAGTGCCAATGTACTTCCCATTACTACAAAAAGGATCAATTACACGTTGGTCAGTAGTTGGTCAGTATCCAATGCTTACATAAATTACATTGTGCTAGTATAAGCCACTCTAGTGCAATCCCAAAAGCATCTGCTAGCATGACAGCTTTTCTGGAAAATCTGCCATGTCAGCAAATGCTACTGGTGTTGTGCTAGAGGTCTTTTACACTAGTGTAACATTATTTACTGTAGAAGTACAGTAATATTAGGTAATGCCTCTATAATTCAATCACCTGTCGTCCATATCCAGAAAAGCTCGGTGTAGATGAAAGTTCACCTTTATTCACTCTAGACTCAGCACCCAAAGCAGGCTTCAAAGCAGATGTTAACGGTGTCTTCCTCTGTGCCTAGTAAACAAAACAAAACAAAGTTTTAATTTTAGCTTAAGGTGGGTAAAGCTCAGAATGCCATGTTTCAAGGGGATTGTTAGACCTTCACTTTATGCCCCTTCATGTTTTTCTTCTTATCAAAATCTTTTAGATCAGTCAAGAACCATCTTCCATCTGTTTGGAAAGCTAGAGAAAATACAGAAGTATTCTTGGGTATTTTCCTTTCAGCTATGGGATTTCCTTCAACATGCCTGTAAACCAGACAGAGATGTATTTTGTTTTCTGCACACCTATGAACTCTTAATACTTCAGACAACAGGGAAACCAAAGCTTGGTCTTGACAACAAAGTGGGTATCTACACTAGCCAAACACACATCAGGTACAGAATCTGGAGAAGAGGTAATGAATTTGTTTTTTGTGTGGTTTGTGCTTGTCTGTGACTAGAATGGATAATGGCTAGAGTGGGAAATGGACCCAAAGCTGCAGAAAGGAGAGCTGAAGCAACTGGGTTTAACAAGGAATCATTAACCCAGCAAGGGTCCAGAGGAAACTCAGGGTGCTTCCACTGAAAAATCATTGTGCACTTATTCCTTCTCTTCTTCAGTGTGAAGGAAGCAGCAGTGGAAAACAAAGGAGGGTTACAAATAGAACACGTCAGTAAATTTCTGTATCTGAGACAGGGTGGCTACAGGGTAAAAGTTGAATATGGAAGATCCTGAGATGCTCATATCCTCACTGCCATCTCCTCCATATCCTGGTCATCTATTTAGTCCTTGATTGCAAGCTAGCTCTCCTCTAACTTCTCTTTCTTCCCAAGAAAACCCTTGGCTGTAGAGCTTCCTGGCAGCCAAACATCCACTCCCACACTCACCGTGGGCTTCCTACTACCTTTACTCTTTAGACCTGGAGGACAGAGAATCAGGAATCAAAGCAGGACTTGGAATGTGATCAGGAGTGTTATAGGAGATGCCAGATAAGAAGTTCATGAGATGAGGCACTTCAAGCTGCCCTGGAACTATAGCAAATTCTTCCAGGAGCTCTTCTCAATCATGAGTAGGAAACTTGTGGCCCTTCAGATATTTGAATCTACAGCTCTCATGATCCCTCTTCATTGGCTATGCTAGCTGGACCCAATGGAAGTTATAGGTCAAAATATCTGGAGAGTCACAAATTGCCCATCTTTGTTCTAAATGGATAGCATTAGCAATCAAAATACACTACTTAATATGTACCTTTCTACCTTTCCTCTCTTTTTCTCCTTAAGGGGTTTTCTCTGGTAATTAAAAAAGAAAAGAAAATATAGAAGCAGGAAAAAAGCAAAGTGTTGTGTGCATGCACTCCAGTGAGATTCCCAGGCGCTTATGAGAAGCTGCCTGTTTTGGGGGGACTAATAGCTCAGACTCTGAGGTTGAGGTGGAGTTGGCTGAACCAGACGGGGCTCAGAGCTCAAACTTTGATAACAGGACTGTAACAGACAGGCCTACACCTGCAGACTCAGTATCTCAGTACCAGTCTGAGCCTGCTCTGGATGAAAGTAGCTCAAGGACACCCACGGGGCCCAGTCTTCCTGCTCGTGGGAATGAAGCAGAAGAAGTATGAGAGGGAGGAGATTTGGAAATGGGTAGTCTCTCAGATAGGGAACACCAGCCTCCGGAAGATGTGGACCTGAGGGCCCATCATCACAGCCGCAGGATGGCCCAATTAGCAGCTCAGAGTACAGAATGCAGGTGCTCCCAGTTCCACAGCACCCCTCCTTCCAGAGACAGGCCCCAGAGGGTTCATAAGCAAAGCTCTGGGTAAAAGGGAGCAGAGAAGGTTCAACATCTCTTTGTGTATGCTCAGAGGCTTGTGAATGCTTAGAGTTTTCTATGTGAAATAAAGATGCTTACAAGAAGTACTGGAGAGTCTGTCTTGCTTGGGAGGAAACACCTAGCTCATGACACAAAGAGAGGTAGTTGTAAAAGGAGGAAGTTTGTTCAGAAGCTCTAAAGGCAGGGTAATTGCACAATAAAAGCCTCCTCTAGAAGCACACCAGGATGGCAGTTGTACTAGGGTTCTCTACATGGTCCCATGCCTGTTTCTCAGAGGAGGCCACTGCAGCTGTCTGGGTCAAAAAGGAAACTGTTAGTTCTTCACCTTCCTCCTCATCTGGCAACCTTCCGCCTCCATCTCCAGCATGCCTACTGGGGAGGGGGTAGGGAAAGAAAGAGACTTAGAAACAGTGTGCTGGCCATGCGCCTGTTTCTTCCCATCCCTTCTGCAACTTTTGGAAAGGAGGGGAGGCAATGGAGATGGTGGCTCCAATGTCAGTGGAACAGTGCGGTCTTTCCAAGTTGTAATCTGAAATGTTAGGAGCTAAGCATGGTGCTGAGCATATTTTAAGGGATGAGGGGGATAGAATTCAGCACCATGGATAGCTCTTTTCAAGTTCAAACTAAAACAGAGTGGCTACACTGCCAACTGACACTGGGGCCAACAGTCTCAACTAAGAAATCTGCTCTTCCTTATACTGGCTCAGGAAATGAAGTAGCATTCACTTCCACCACAGTTAACCTCTTGGACAGGCTTAGTACCTGCATCCTCCCCATTGCCAAGGATATTCTGGGAAGTGTGCGTGCTCGTCTCATGGTTGGAGCTAGTTTTGTGGGGTGGGGGAAAAATGAGATTTCAGTTTCCCAATATTGTTCGATAAGGGTACCAGTCTGTACTATTGGCAGAAACCCTATTTTGACCCACTGTTCCTTAAAAAAAGGTAGGAATCTCTACCAGCAACTGAGAAATTATCTATTCCAATCTTCTGTTCTGTTCTGCTTGGGTGTTCAGCAGTCCACACTCAAGTGATTCACTTTGCTAACACACATCTTTTTAGATGATTTGGCCAATACATGCATGAAAGTAACCCTCTAGAATAAAGACTTTTCTCTGGAGATTTGTGAAAGTGTATGGATTTTGGCATCACTGTAAGCTGTTTCCGTTTGGACTGAGTTGGCTTTAACTTGCAGGTTACATTTTAGCAAAAACACACATGGGGTTTATATTAAAACACTGTTACCTGTTTCAGCTCCTTCATGGATCCCTGCCTTGTTGTGGCGAAGGGGCTTGCGTAGCTCAATGAAGCTATGAGCTAAGCTGTGCAGGGCCACCCAAGATGGACAGGTCATAGCAGAGAGCTCTGACAAAACGTGATCCACTGGAGAAGGAAATGGCAACCCACTCCAGTATCTTTGCCATGAAAACCCCATGGACAGTACCAAAAGGCAAAAAGATATGATGCCAGAAGATGAGCCCTCAGATCAGAAGGTGTCCAATATGGTACTGGGGAAGAGCAGAGGGCTAGTACTAGTAGCGCCAGAAAGAACGAAGCGACTGGGTCAAAGCCAAACGGACACTCAGTTGCAGATGTATCTGGTGGTGAAAGGAAAGTCCAATGCTGCAAAGATCTATACTCCATAGGAACCTGGAATGTAAGATCCATGAATCAAGGCAAGCTGGATGTGGTCAAACAAGAGATGACAAGAATGAATGTCGACATCTTAGGAATCAGTGAACTAAAATGGACAGGAATGGGTGAATTTAATTTAGATGACCATCAGGTATACTACTGCGGGCAAGAATCCCTCAGAAGAAATGGAGTAGCCTTCATAGTCAATAAAAGAGAAGGAAAAGCAGTACTGGGATACACTCTCCAAAATGACAGAATGATCTCAGTTTGAATCCAAAGCAAACCATTCAACATCACAATAGTCCAAGTCTATGCCACAACCACTGGTGCTGAAGAGGCTGAAGTTGACCAGTTCTATGAAGGCCTACAACACCTTCTAGAATTAACACCAAAGAATGATGTCCTTATCATCATGGGGGATTGGAATGCTAAAGTAGGAAGCCAAAAGATAACTGAAATAACAGGCAAGTTTGGCCTTGGAGTACAAAATGAAGCAGGGCACAGGCTGGTAGAATTTTGTCAAGCGAATACGATGGTCATAGCAAACACTCTTTTCCAAAAACTCAAGAGATGACTCTACACATGGACATCACCAGACAGTCAACACAGAAATCAGATTGACTATGTGCTCTGCAGCCAAAGATGAAGAAGCTCTATACAGTCAGTAAAAACTTGACCAGGAGGAGATCAACCCTGACTGCTCTTTAGAAGGCCAGATCCTGAAGATGAAACTCAAATACTTTGGCCACCTAATGAGAAGGAAGGAGTCCCTGGAGAAGAGCCTAATGTTGGGCACAATAGATGGTAAAAGAAGAAGGGGACGGCAGAGGATGAGGTGGCTGGATGGAGTCACTGAAGCAGTCGGTGTGAGCTTAGGTGGACTCTGGGGGATGGTGGAGGACAGGAAGGCCTGGAGGAACATTGTCCATGGGGTCGCGATGGGTCGGACATGACTTTGCGACTAACAACAGCTACAACAAGCTGTTTCAAGATCCTAGGAATGTGGAAATTGAATGTAAAGAATGAATTGGGTGACCATTTTTGGAAATAAAGAAACGGTATTTATAATGTATACTTTGGTGTACAGGCAGTCCCAGGGTTATGAACAACCCATACTTGTGAACAAATTGCGATAAAGTCTATTAATTTTAAAAAGTTACTGCAGAAAATTGTCATCTCCATAGAGAGAGAGGAAGTAAAATGGGAGAGATGGAGACCTCCAAAGCATGCCTTTGTGCCTGTTCAGAGAGGGAAAACTCTCCAGCATTTCATTGCTGCAAAGAGGAGGCACTGGTGAGTTTGGGATGGGGGCGGGCTAGAGATAGTCACAGTTTTTCCACTTTCACAGGGGTCCTGCACCCCAATCCCTGCAAATTTGGAGGACTGACTATATGTGATCCAGCTTACATACAAATTCAGCTTAAAGATGGATTCCCATTTTCTCAGGAAAGGGACTCATTCATAACCCAGGGACTGCCTGTATACATTTTCTCTGGCTACCACAGAATTTGGATCAGGCCCATATCAAGATTGTTTTACCATCCAGCCTGCTAAAGTTGTTCATAACATAACTTAGCTCTTCTCACCTTTTCTTCTGCTTCTCTTGCTCTTTTCAGTTTCAGTAGCCGTCTTTCTTTTCGCTTTTCCAGAAGAGGCATAATCTTCTCATCAGCCAAATTGCCTCGGAACTCACAAAATTTTGGCCAAAATTTGAACAGAAGAGCAAAAACAGTCATCTAAAGCAGGAAGAAGAAAGGGGAAGTCTCGTAGTGTGACACTATACAGAAACATACAGTACTGCAGAAAATGAGGATATTTTGCCACCATGATGGAGATATTTCTTCTCTAATGCATAGCACAAACCTCCTCCACCCTGCATGTTTTCTGATATTTTACTCCAGACTTGCACATGCTTCTCATCAGTATGTTTATTGCAGATGAGAAATCTTCCTAAACCACAGTTTTAAAAACTCTTCTTCTAAAAACATTCTTCTAACTCATTGGTTGCATTAAGAAAACTATTAGCTAGTGTATTCTATTTGTTTTTAATAATGTGGGGTTTTAAAAAACATAAAATATGCATCAGAATTATTGCTTTTAGTACAACTGTCATCCATAATATTCCACTTAGACAGAGAAGCAAGTTTCCTTTCAAACATTAAGAGAAGGGGATTTTGCCTCTGGAGAAGTTCTAAAACAATACTACATATCTGTGAGGAATGTTTAAAGTGATATAATCTCCTTGCAGGGTCTGCTTTAAACTAGAGAAAGAAAAACAAGTTTGAAAGCAATGACAGAGATTCAAAGCATGACCTCAATTAAGGCATTAACGCCATGAACCAATAATAAGATGCATACTTTGAAAGCTGAATTACATTCAGTGGCTCTGGAAATTGTCACAGGCAAACAGAAGAGATTCAGTGAAGGCTCCCCCCCACCCCACCCCCGCAGGCAAAGGACTTTCATCAGGAGCATGACATGCATAGAAAGGGTTAAAAACAACAATCCATCTTGCAAACCAGAGTCCAATCCGCCTGCAACTGCTTCTGAATGTGGAAAACTAAGGAGGCAGCTTCAGGCTATTTACTATTGCCTCCCCTTTCCCTCATTCTTCTTCTATACTTGTTTTCCACCAGCAATTGTGCATGATATTTACAGCTAAGGAAAACCAGGATGCCTATTACGTGAAAGCGCTTTAGTGCCCATGTGCCACTATGTCGGAGAGGCAGTCAGAACCATGTGTCAATCATACTAGGTAACAGACTGCATGAGCTCTAACTTGGGGTGTGTATTGTGTCACCTGGATGCCTCCCCAATCACATCAGTACATGTTGGCCACTGGTCAAGAGATCCCAATGCCTTGGATGGTAGGAAAATGCTGTATGAATCCCACCAACAGTTGTTAGCTTGTAGCTTAGTTATGATGTTATGAGGACTATGGCTGATTGGGTTGAATCCAGACTAGCCCAGTAATATTATTTTTATTATTTTATGTTATTAGAGCATTTCTATGCCACCCCTTGCCGAAGCCTCAAGGCTCCCTAATAAAGGAGGGGAGGGGGCAATCTGGGTTGACTCCCTGTGCCCCTTCCTATGTTGGATCTCATGCTGTCATGACCAGTCCTCCAGAGCAGCAACAGGGGCTACAAGGGGAAGGGCCACATCACGTTTTCCCAGTGCAAGCGGAACTGCACTAGGCATTACTCCAAACACAATCTACCGTGAATGTCCTGAGTGATGCTATATAAGGTTTTGGCCCATTCCAATTGCCCAGCCAAGCAGATTCTCAGTGGGCCCTCCTGAACAGTTTCATTTGTTAATGGGATAAAGGGATGTCAAACATCTCTTTCATAATCTCTTTAATTCTTAGTACAGGCCTTTCTGAATAACTCCACGTGAATACATACAGACTCTGAAGCATCCTGAACTCAAGGAGTACACCCCCCAAATACACACACACACTTTCCTACTAGGGACAGCATCTCATGATGCTTAACTCACGTCCTCTGACCTCTTGTTACAAAAATGTTTGCCATCACAAAAAACCTACAAATTCCTTTTCTGTACAAACCCTTTTAAAAAGGGAGGTCTAAGGTTAAGCATTAGTGAACTTGCCCTGTGGTGTGTGGGGGGAATTCATGGCTCAGGCAAGATTTTAATCCAGTTTGTGTGGACCAAAGGCCAGTGATTCATCCACTATCCATACCAACCCTGTGAAATAATCTTTCAGTATCTGGATAAATCTTCTCTCAGCTACAACTCTGAGTTTTGCTAGATTTTCCATTTGCATATCAGGTCTTTATCTACTTCATCATCTGCCAGAATGCAGTTGTTTCCAGACTTGTTGTCTCTTGGATGTTTTATCGATTTGTGTTAACACTTCTTTAAAATGTGAGGGATGGCAGTGATGGACAACTGTTTGTGGTATTTTGAGCAGAAGGGAGGGAGAAAGTAGATGAATGTATTTTAAAAACAGGCACATAAAAGGTAGTAATAGTCAGTGGTCATCAGTATACTTTTTACAAATTTGGTCAGTACAGGAGAATGAAGGTTTTTCTTTAAAGTGAGATGTAGGGGGGGCAATACAAGAATCTACAAATGGATCCAATAACATTATTCATCTTTTTAAAAAGGTCTGATAAAGCTGCCCCTTTGCACTGCTGACGTCTTTGGAAGTTAGTAATGCACAATTTCAAAGATTTCTGTACTCCTTCCTCTCCACAGCACACATGCTGGGATACGCTGGATTTTTTCATGCAAACAACAGCTCCTTGGCTGCCTCTGTGAATGATTCCCTGAGTTTCTAGAGTAGCTTTCCAGAGGTCACAAGTAACTGAAGTGGGAAGGATGCCTGAGAGGGTGCAGTGGTTAAGAGTGCTGGTATGGGACTCAGGTAATCTGGGTTCTAATCCCCACTCAGCCATCGAGCCACCTGGGTGACACTGAGCCTGTTACAGACTCTCAGCCCAGTGTATCTCTCAGGGTTCTTGTTCTTGTTGGGATAAGACTGAGAGCAGGAGGAAGAGGGTCATATAAGCCACACATTTTCTTTAAAAATGAAAAAGGCAGAATATAAATCAAATAAATACATAATCTCTCATGCATAATTGGAAGGTCTGCCTATGACTCCTTGGAGCTATTCTTCACTTTTATGTTTTAATGAGGTAAGATCCAAAGTTTGCTTTCCTGGGGACAATTTTGCATCCACCCAGTTATTCACAGGCACAATATTCAGCCCTCAAAAACAGAGGCCTCTTTTAACACTCAGGCCCAATACTTCCCAACAAAACTTAGGATATTGATTCTTTGTACCTGTGCCTCTCTAAACACGTAAGGGCCTAATTCTCTCCTGTGCTCAATAATCTTCTGGGCTTGCTCCTCAGGTATGTCGATCTGAATTGCTGGTGGAATGGCAGAATTAATGAAGCAGTTGATGATCATTGTAATCTTATTCTGGATAATAGCATCCTCACAATGGGAATGGCACATATCCTGAAAAGGAAAAAGTGTGATTTGCAGTGCACATGCTCAAACCCCCTTGTGCCCAGTAAATTGTGCATTAACCCACAATTTGCTATAATATGCAAACTGTCTCAACACTGTAAGAGGTGAATTTTCCACCACCTCTGTTCCACAGCTATTCAGCTGATTAAATGTTAACACTATCAAGAATTCATGCTAACTTTCTCCTATGTGTTCTCTTGTTTTTGCACAACAAATGACACCCTGAACCAAGGAATCTCCTTGTGGAGGAGGACAGAAAACTGGGGTGGGGGGATGGAATGGACAGTTCTTGAAAGAGCATGGATGAAACTCTGCACAGGTTCAGTCCATATTTAACATTTGTTTGGATGTCCCATTTGTCTATTTCAAGACCCCTGTATAATTCTGAATCACTGCGAAAGAGAATCATTGCTATGTGCAGAGACTTTCAGTTAATGTAAGATAGGTTATGAAATAGAGTAAACCCATATTTAATACATTCTAAATTTGCAATTCTATAACAAGTTTTTAAACTGACTTTGAGTAGCCATCATCACTTAGAGTTAAATAGTTGTGGTCCACCAGACAAGGGCTTCTTGTTCTCCTCATCTGGTGTCTCATTAGGAACCACAAGGTTGTCATCACACAAGAATTCAACGACTTTAACACAGTCATGTGATTCTCATGCAAATGACCTGAAGCCATTTTTGTGCACAACATGTGAAAATTAGCTCCAGGCCTCCTGGTCTTTCAGTCATGTACTTCCCCACCACTACTGAGAGAATTGGAATAATGCTTCACAGTGAATTGTATTCCCATTAATCTCAGTGGAAATAAAGCAATAATCCTTCAATAGCCCATCTCTCATTGCATGCTGAAACTGGGCCTCCTCAAATTCAGCAAGCCTACTAGCTCAGCAGAGTCTGTGCCAATGAGAAGCATAGTAGTTCTTTTGCTAGCACAGTGGAGGAATTGCAGGCAGAGAATAGAACAAAGGAAAAATGCACTAAGGTTCTGCTGATCTGTCAGCAGCCTTCAAATAGGCACTCGGAACCATGATGCACAAGTCAAGCCAGGAATCAAATCCAAGTGTTGGGGTCAATAGTTCTAGGGAGCCAAAACCAGCGAAGGCTATTGGTGCTCAGGCCAAGTCACACCCTGAATAGACAGTGGTGGTGGTGGTGGTGGTGGTGATAAAATAATCAAATCTAGCCCTTCATGGTGGGCAACCAATGCTCTGAGTGGTGGAGTGATGCCAGTACTCCTTTATGGTCCAAACAGGAGTGGACAACACAACTCATGGGCTGAATGTAAAAAGAAAAGAAAAAGAAAAAATGCATCTGCAGTGAACTCTAAAGGGGTTAAAGTTGCATGTAAGCTAGATTTGACTTTATTGGTGCTCCATAGTGCTACTCATGCCATTTTTTCTTAAAACACAGACACAGAGCGAGTCAGAAGGGGCCTCCCAGGCCATCTAGTGTGACCCCCGGCTCCAGCCAGCTCTGCTCATGACATGCCTACCATGTGCAATGAAAACGATGAAGATGATGGTGATACAATTTTAACATTTATTTTCTGACCACCCAGGAACATGCAGCCTGCAAGAGTGGGTAGAAAGAGGGCAATGATGCCCCATGGACCTCTCAGAATTGCTCACTTGGCCTGTAAAGATGCTCTGAACAGGGAAGCTATGTACAGAACCATGGATTCCTGGTTATGGCCAGACAGAAAACTGTAGGGAATGAAACAACATTTCTGTCTGACCCATTTCACACCAGCAAGAAAGGCCCAGCTTAAATATCTTTCTCAATCCAAAGCTTAGGGACTGATACCATTCGGACAATCAGACATTTAATTAACAGTTTTGCTGTTTTTTAAAGCTAGTTCTGGTCCTCTCCTATGGATAGGTAGGCTGTATGGGGACCTTTGGCTGTTTATCCCCAAACCCAGTCCCAGTCCATATGAAGTTCCTGTGCCTGCTATTTGTATTGGAATGACAGCTTCTGCTGGGAGCCCCCATTTCAAGGCAGACACAGAACTCCTGAATCAGATCTAGCTGTCCATACTGTAGACTAGAGGTTGTGGGGGGATCTTATGATCCATCTGTATCACAGAGGATCCACAGAGGTGGATCCAAATCTAGATCCCACCCACACCCATTGTTTACTTTTAAAGAACAGTCACATTATTACTGATGCCAAGAATACGATCACATTTAGTTTGGCCTTTAAAGTAGCTGGAATGCAATGACTACCCTTTTGAGACATGGCCCTTATGTTGCAGTACCTTTCTGAGAGCTCTGTCAGTGGCAGACTGAAGGTGATCAGGACACAAGGCACCCATTTCATTTTTAGGAAAAGTTTTTAAAAACTTGAGTTATCTTACCCCTCAAGATGTTTGATCAGTTGATATATTATGGTTTTTCTGTGTTCAAACTTCATTTTATGGGCACAAACTGACTTAGACTTAAGCATACCTAATTCCATGTCAGACTGTGATCTTTGGGACTTGTTGTATATGTATAATTATTGTTTGCATTTTAAAGCATTTTCAAATAGGACAGACACACTCATACATACATGTTGCTGGGAGAGCACTTGTCCATCCACCCCTACTTCAGACAAGAAGCTGAGCTGAAAATGCAGCTTATGGTAGATCACTCAGGGTAGATTGAAACAGTACATAAACCCAGTGGTGAGGTGGAGCCAGAGATCACGGGGATGCAGAAAGGAAAACTGCTACAACTGATTTGTTGAGGTGCTTCAAGGCAGCTGCCTGAATTTTTGTACTCTCTTTAGAGACATGGCTATGGGGACTTCCATTACGAGGTTCTGTACTTCAAGACATACTACCACACCACTGCATAGACCAAGTAAATGGTGCTAGTCAGAATCTCCTCAGTATCTATAGGGTTGTTAGGTTCAGTGGTCCAGTACAGATGTTATGTTCCTGGCATCATCCATCATTACCAGATGATCAAGTGTATTGTATGTGTTTGCATGCTTCCTTCCATAGTTAGCCTTATCCAAGGTGTACTGTTATGTTTGCCTTGGCTCTAACCTAGGTGAAATCCAACCAGGGTTGCTGTCATTAAGTATAATCTGATACCAGGGCTTGAAATGGGTTCCAAATGCTGATTATTAGAACCAGCCTGGTAAGAATTTATCAGAATTAGTGCTGGTGCAATTGTAAAAGGTTAAAGCAAACTGTGGAGGGGAGTGAGATTCACGTGAAAGGGAAGGTGATGGACGGTGTGAGTACATTGTATGCACCCTGTAAAGACCTTACACCCTGTAAAGATGCAAAGACCTGGTAAAAAAACCAGTATAAGTAGGAATGAAGGGGAATTTCTGGTGTGTTCCCCTCCCCATCAATAGTTTCTGGATTTTTTCCCCAAGCATTCACATCTCTGTTCTACTGGGAGATTAAGCATGGTATGCCTAGACAGGTGTAGCCTGAGGTAGGATGTATGTACCTTGCCAAATCTGTCTTACTAGCTGGCTGCTAATGTCACAGCAGCCTGTCCCATATTACATCTGGCAACCTTAAAATGATAGTGTTTTCTGATATCCAAGTACAAAGCAGAGGGCCTTTAACTATCTCATCCACATAGTTTGCAGAGTTCCTTAATGTGACAAACCTCAAGCTGTCAGTGGGCCATCCCTAGCTTTACAATTCCCACGCAATCCCAATAAAACACTATTGCTGTAGATAGAAATATCACAGTCCACATTGCACAGAAGGTGCATTATTTCCACTCCTTGATAATATTGTACCTTATATTTCTGCACCTCCTGCCAGAAGATCACTCCGTTCCCCAGTAAATCTCCTTTCAGTGACACAAAGCGTTGGAACTGTAAGGCTGTGATGGGATTCAACAGAGCTTTACGGAAAGTAATTATTTCCTTAGATGAAGAAACCCACTTATTGTCCACATGCTGTCACAAAGAAGCAAATTGAGTAAACTATTTCAAAAAGCAATAACACAAGCATTAGTTAGAGTAAACTGATGCTTATCTTTACACTGACCTTAACATTCAGTAGTTTATTACATGGACACAATAGAACTTGGCAACCATTTTTTCTCTCCCACTCTTTTGTTTGATTTGGGTAGCATTTCTTTGGAAGGGACAAAGGGGGAAAGGAAATGACTAACCATGATTTAGAACATATAACTCTGTACTGTCAGTTTGGAAATGGCTATCATTGTTGACTATGGCAAGAGACTTTGCTTTTTGGTGGAGGGTTGAAGGGTTACAAATAGAAGGAGAAGATCAGTTTGAGATCTTGTAAAAACAAACAAGAGAGAGGAAGGAATAGGCAAACCACAGGGCTTAGAAGTCTAAAACTCCCTTTGACAACAATCTTACTAACAAAAATTGCTTTGAAATCCATTGCCATGATTGCCAACAGAAGCTGTAACTTTGTTTTTCTTGGAAATACATTTTACCAACAGTCAAATGTGACTTAACATCATCAAGAGATTTAAAGGATCTTCACACTAAGAAAACAGGAGTGTGGAAAGCAGGTATGACTAAGTAGAAAGCTCAAAAGTAAACTGAAATAAATCATTAGAATGAATGGGTTTGTATGACCTGAAAACCCACCATGCACTGCTGCCCACAGTAAGCTGTCATGCCATGCAAACCCAGACTGAATTGCCCAGGGTAGCCTGTTCATGGGCAATGAACCATCCAAACAACCCATGATTGTACCCACAATGAATTGTTGAGTCATCTGAACCTGGGTGCCCAACCCCATTCTTGGTAGGAAGAATTGGCAACTGAGTCCCTTGGCAAGGATGGCAAAATACTCTTGCTGCTTTTGCCATGCAAGCTCCTGGTGACCACAACTGCCAGCCGCACCAAAAGTGCCCAACCTGCACTTATGGCAGCTGGCACTAGCTGCCTCACTCCTGCAATCATAAGCGATTTCAGACTCACCCCAGCCATTTTTCCCTTTCAACTTTTTTCCTACTGTGAAAGCCAGCTGCCAAGACTCCATACAGCAGTATGGTCCCCTGCCAAGAGATATATTTTAACCCTTTGTAAATTCCACTTTAAAATGGAGCTCTTGACTTTGATAACTGTTAGACATTGATAACTCCTATATATGGGAGATCTTCTAGATTTTTGACCTGCGTGTTCTCGGTTTCCCCATACTTGTCCATCCTTTCTCAAAACTCTTTGTTGTTATGTGCTGTCAAGTCTGGGGGTGAGGAAAGTGAAAAGGTTGCCCCATTTATGAAAGTGTGATGTTTTGATACCTACCTGTCAAAACCCTAGATTCCTTTTAAAACAAGCTTTTGACAGGGCTATGCAGGTTTTGTGACAGAGACACAGGCATTTGTATATCCATAAGTCCCTCTAAGGGTGCACACGTGCGCACGCACACACACAGATTTGCCCTGGAAAAAAATTGGATGCTTTTGCTTCCTTTTAAACATCTGTAAAAAGGCGTGGCTTGCACTGTTCTGCCCTCTCAAACCAGAAAAAGACGGAAAAGATGCAGGACACTACGTTTCAGTTTCAACCTTCAAATATAGAGAATGCACCTCAAAGGCAATGATCTGCTGGGTACTCCCTTTTGTTAGCAAAGATCCTGGGCACTTCCCTTTGCACAGCTATCAGAGGAAAGCAAACTTAAACAACAACTCTTAGCACTTTGATGGGAAACAACCCCTAAAACATTGCCCAGGCAAGGCAATGTAGGAAAAAATGAATGAAAAACTGCACAAAATGTTAAAGAAAGAAAAAAGGCATTTAAAGAAAAAAAAAGGGAATGGAAAACCAGGAACAGCTCTTTTAATGTGCTATTTGGGCACTTTGGGGGGATTCTCACTGGCTCTCAGTTCAGAGATTGTGAAAGATGAGAAAGTTTGTGTCCTGCAAACTTTCCCTTGCCCATTTGTTTCCTCTCCTGAAGTACTCCCCAGTCTTGTCCTTTGCCCATATTCCCTGGTGCTCCTAAACCTGATTCTCATAGTTATGCTCATATCTCAGCTGGTTCCTGGTAATAGCTAACTGGCAATATGGAGCCCAGACAAAAAGAAGTTCCTCTCGGCTTCCATAAATGTATACAACATGTGCTATAAAGAGTTTGCTACTCTTTGAGAGGGAGAGGGAGAAAGGAAGGGAAGGATGTCATGTTACAGCACTTTAAGATGTTTAAAAATTGATAAGATCATCACATTAAGATGCAGTTCTAAATGAAACAGATACTGTGAGATATGATTAATCCTGCCCACTTTCCTGCATGCTTCAGATTCTTTTTTGGTGACTACACTTAAACACTCTCAATAATAAATTATTTTCCAGATGCTGGAGTGAACAGCTCATCCCAATGAGCCTACTCGGTTTAAGTTAAATGGGAAAATGTACATTAAAGTTACTGCATTCATTCCTGCTTGAAAGCCATGAGAAACACCCTTATGTCATGGAAATCTTAAAAAGTGTTATGCAAGCAGTGGCGGTGGGGTCCACAACCCCATTTTCATGTTGTGCATGCAAGTGCTCTCTATTACAGTACAGCTTTGTTGGTCATACAGAATGATGACCTGGATGCACTGAAACAAAGCAAATGTTTACAGACTTTTGCAAGAAACTGCCTATGCTTAAGAGTTAATCTAGTTTGCACAGAACATGGTGTGCCTAGTTCCCACACTATTGCCAGGGAGAAATTCCCAAGTTTTTAATTCTAAAACACTGGCAACAGAGGTTGGGTGGGGTGGGAGAGTAGCAAAAGGAAGTGCACTGAAATGCAAGGGAGGCAGTATCTCAGTTCCTGACAACATACAAGGAACTTGCCCTGCCAGGTTCAGATGATGTGACAACCCACTGTGGGCAAAAACAACCCTAAAACAAGGTCGTTTTAGGGTTGTTTTCATTAGAAGTTTTCAATGTGAGTCCCTCATGAAAAATCAGCCACCATGCAGAAATCTGTTAGTCAAGATTTTTATCATGCCACCCCAGAGCTACTTAAGCAAATAAGAGCAGTCTTATCTAGCCCAATATTCTAGTCACGCAGTGGCCAACCAACAGCCTGTGAGAAACCCACAAGCAATAGCATCTTCCTGTTTGTTTTCTAGCAACTGCTATTAAAGACATCCTGTCTCTAATACTCAAAGATGCAGACAGACACCAGGCCTAGTAATTGAATGGTGACTGACAGTTGGATGGGAGGAAGGCTATTGGAATCATCTCCATAGGTGATTCACCAAGTTACGCCTCAGGATTGTCTCCTGTGTGTCTACATCTGGGATGGATAGAATTTCCTGGCAGATCTCTGGGTAACTTGCAACAGATCTGTGAAGGTTTTTCACTCTCTAAAATCTAACAGCCAGCAGCAGCAGCTGCAGCAGCACTTTTTCTACCTAAATTTGACTGCTAGAATGAAGAAAAGTTGAGGATATACAAGAGAAGAATATTGTGGGAAATTACTGTAAACACAGTTCAGTCTTGATGTCACTATCCAAAGCTCAAAATACATTCAGAAATACTTTGTTCTTGAATTCTAAGGAGATATCTTAGAATCTTGCACCTGGCTCTTGTTCATAGGTACTGGGTTTGACAAGCCTGAAGTACGACCACCCCTGTTCTACATCAGATTTGATGTTTTCAACCAGAATGGCCCACTTTCTGCATCAAAATCTGATTTATGAGACCTGTGGAAATTATGGGTTGAAACCAGATTTAATCATACTTGATCCAATGAAATTGATGGAAATTAAGTTAGTTATAATTAACCTTTTCTACTTATTTCGACTGGTCTACTCTAAATATTGCTAAGTCTGCACCCAACCCCATGTAAATTAAACAAATCCACCTGTGTTTGCTTTCCAATAGTCATGGATAAAGACAAAGGACTATGCTCACTAATAATTGGAAATCCTTTTTGAACTGGTTTCTAGTTTTGGAAGTTTTATCACATAATGTCCACATACTTGTAAATCTGTCCTTATAGCCAGCAGAACTAGGAAAATACTTTAAAAAGAAGAAAAGATCCCTGAATTTCTCCGAGTGCTAATTTCTGTATCCAACCATGAGCATGCCCAACAGCAAAAAACTTGATTACTATATTAAACTGATTTCAGTGTGTCTTAATAATGTGATCCTAAGATTTACAACAGGCTGATCAACCTTACATACTCTACAATATCAAGTTGCAACTTCTACCATCCTGTGGGAATAGTAGGAGTTGTAGTCCAACATCCAGAGGTCATTAGGTTGGGGAAGACTGTTTGAAGGTATAATGTTTAGTATATTTAGATAGAAAATAGGCTTCTGTCTAAAGTTGCAAAGGATTATGCTGTTATAGTATTCTGTATATGATAATAATAATTATACTTGCTCAGCATTAACTAAGCTCTTTGGGCCAAAATGTTTGTGGAAGGGTTGCAGACCCATACTATAGGCCCATACTATATCCAAGAGCAAGCAATAACAAGAAGAACTTGCCTTCCATGGTTCTGTTTTCTTCTCATGCCTCTGAATTAAAATATCTTCTGCTGCATCTTGTAGGTGTGGCTTAAAAATTAAAAAGTATTATGGTTGTTATCGATCCTCAAACTAACAGTGTTTTTGAGTGCTCACTATTATTATGCATCCTGAGGGATAACAAATTCTCACTCCATTCAAAATTAGGATCGATCGTATTATCCCTAGGCAGACAGATTAGAATTTCAATCAATATATGATAATGTGTTATCATTGGCTCTCTGTTCTAGACTTCATAAAACATGAAGGTTGTGAAAAAACAGAGATTTGCTCCCTTCTGTGTCCAAAACTGGCCAACTGCAGGGAAAAAGGATAATAGGCTGAATGTATCTTGAAGGAATACAAACGAGAAAATAAAACCATGGTTTGTTGGTGCCTTTCTCTGGCAGTGTTGTGTACAGCTCTCCTGCCAGAAAAACCAATGACATGAAGACTCTCCTATGTGGCATCAAGCTCAATGCTTCTTCCTATTAGGTAGACTCATTGTGCCCTATATCAAGTAATAATTTTTATTTTTATTTTCAGTATCATTTTGCTCCTCACTACCCTGAACTACCAGCTCCCATGTGAGACTGGATTGCATTTGTGGGCTCCAGTGAATGAGCACAGAAGGTGAAATTCTACAGCAAAGTTCAACCAACCCTTCTCCAATAAACCCTGACAGGCTTGCCAAGTGTCAAGCCAGAGTGGACTGCCTCTTTTGTCTTCAGCCACTAACTGATAGATGGGATGAACTAAAACACATGCAAAACTCCTGCGTACAAAGCTATTGCTGTTAACTGACATGCTTCACGTTCATTGATTGATATTGCCTCTGAGTTGTCCATTCTGTTAAACACATTGTTAGGTATATGTAACATTGCCTTCATTAATGTTTAATGGTTCTGTCTACTAACCAGAGTGGGAGTGGGAATGAGACTGACCTCTCTGCCTAAATGATGTCCTTTCTGTCCCTTTACTCCTTTTACCTCATCTGGAAAGGCAAAAGGTCTCATGACCATTTGCCCTCTCTCTTCCTCCTACCATGACTAGAGAGGCATGTTTTTCTGTCTTCTCCTCCCCTCCTCCTCTAAACTAACCAGCTAACAAATGAATCAAGACATTCTGCGTGAACATACCTACATTTCTCCTTCATACAAGTCACATATGGATGGTCTGTAAGTTAATAAACCTTTCTATCTTTGTTAAAAAATGGTGGATTCTCATAGATTCAGGTGCAAGCAACAGCCTCTTAGCTAAATCTGCTGTTTAATGCTTACCTCTGCTGAACCTGCATGCAACCAAATATATCACAGGTTCCCAACATACATGCAAGTCCCAACTCTAAGGCAAACCACATACCACCATGAAAACAATTGTACTACGTAGTTTGGTAAAATATTACCTTTGGTTTTTTCAGTGGTCCTGGTTCTTCACTTGCAAAAAATAGTGGCAGCCATTTTTTCTCCAGTCTCATCTGGATATATTTTTGAATCTCCAGCAAGATCACAGGAAGAACTTGTTCATGAAGTAACTGTCCCCAACCTCCACCCAGTTTCATTATCTAAAATGTAAATACATCAACAGTTCAACAATAAAAAACTAAAGCATTTTGAAGAGACAATATGCTTCTGAGTATTTGGCCTACATAACTCCTATGAATTATGAATCTGATTCAGATAACAATGCAATGTGCAACTTAGTGCAATTTCCCTATCTCAGTACTCTCCTGATATTTCAGATTTCAACTTCCATCAGCCTTAAGAGACATGGCCAAAGGTCAGGAATTCTATAACTTTTAGTTCTAAGCAGCTGGAGGGTATCAAAATGGTGAAAGCTAGTCTAGATAATCCCTCTCCCATTAAATAATAGTTTTCACTGTTAATCACTGGGTGTTTAATCCAAATTAAGATACAGTGATGCTCAGACAACCCAGTAATGCACACTCAAGCACTGTTGTCTGAAGTCAGCCACAATAAACAATATCAAACAACTCACAGTTCACAACGCAATAGCAAACTATGAGTAAACAAGCCATAGCTTGTTAGTGTAACTAGATTCAGACAATACTATAATCTAAGTTTCAGCAGCACCCTCTTATTCAACAAGTCATACTCAACCCTTGAGTGTGAGTTATTGTGTTGTCTGAGCCCAGTCAGTGGGACTTACTTGGTTTGTAATTCTAGGCATACTTCAGAGGAACATAAGATAACCCATGTTGGAAAAGGCCAAAAGTCTATCTAGCTCTGAACCTGGTGTACCACAGTGGGCAACATGATGTTCATGGAAATCCCACGAGCAACATTTGAGGACAATTATATTACAGTGCTAGTTTTGCTCTTCAGAAACTGGTTTTCAGAAGCATTCTGTCTCTGATTCTGGAAATAAACTATCACTGTCATGACTGATAGCCATTTAGTGCTTTTGACAGGCTCACCACATAATGTGATGTGGAGTGTGTGGGAAAGACTCATTCACATACCATGTAGGACTATACCATGGTGGTGGGGGGCAGGCAGGGAGAAGCTTTCATGCAACTTCAGTTTTGTCTAAAGGACATCACAGTAAAATGAAAAGTGATACATATTTAGCATCAAGAGGAATCTAGCTATATTAAATCCCTTTCAAATCTGCATTAGTGGCATATGAGAACTGATATGTCCATCATCACCACTATGACATCATGACTATCATCTGTAAAGATGGTTGAAAGCAGCCAACAATTACCTGCTCTTGCTCCTCTTTGGTAGCTGGGCTATCAGGTCCAAAGAAGTATTTCTTATTTAGATATTTATTCTTAATGTCCTTAGATTTTTCTTGTCTTTGGTCTTTATTTTTGTGGAGCATTCTCCTGAACTGTTCAATGTCCATCCAGCACATGAGGTCTGTGCTACAAATGAGGTAAAGAGTATTCTTATGTTATCTAATTTTTACTGGTGGCTTAAATGAATTAAAGTCAAACTAAACCAATATGACACAGGGCCTACTGTCTTATGCATCCTTAGTAAGGAGTAAGCCCAGGATGGTTCACTTCCAAGTAAATGTGCTTAGAATTGCGTATGATTGTCTGCAGCAAACACTTTATCTCTCAGACTAAAAGGACAGCATTATGGTCTTCTGACATCACCTGGAAGACCATAGATTTGGAGCTCCAGGTCTGCATCCTACACAGTACGTCATAACCCCAAATAATCAAGTGGACTTCCTACAATCTCAGAGCTGGGGCTCTGACAGCTGAGCCCCTACCTTGTCCCTCTCACAGCTGACATGGAAAGAACTGTGCTGGCTAGTGCCCCAAGGTTGCCCATGGGCACGGTGGGGAGTTGTGCGTCAGGGAGGGAGGAGAGAAGGAAGCTGGGGCCAAGGACTTCCACCGATTCCTATTGGTTGCCCAGCCTCCTTCCTTCCTTTTTATCTAGATGGCTTAAAATGGCCATGTAGATAAAATACCAGTACAAGTTGTGGCAGCAGGAGATTTCTGATGCTGTGCCTCATTCCAGGGTTAGGATGCACATGAGCCTCTGAGTTTGGAGGGTTATATACATCAAGGCTGCTGGGCACAGTCCACAACTTCTGATTCTCCATCCATACTTGCAGAGCAGCTATTAGGAAAAACAGTGAATCATCCAGTTACATCTGAAAGCCTAAAACATCTATGATGGCATAGACTTTTGTGAAATACAGTCTTCTTTATCAGAAGCATGAAATGTCATCCCAAATTGGCAGAAAAATATAAAAGTGAAGTTATATTCAATGCTAGTCCTGCACAGAATGGGCCCATTGAAATGAGTGGGCCCATTGAAATGATTGGATACTACTCATGGTTATAGGGTTAAAAAACAAAACATTAGACAGTGTTGGTGATGATCATAACACAAGCAGCCTGGCATCAGTGACCCACAGGACAAACTGTTGTTACTCATTAATGGCTTAACATGTGGAAACAGATGCCATCTGCAGGGATTTAATATGGCCTGTACAGCTGTAATGAATACACTAGAGCATTATTGTCTGGTAGAAGTACAAAACAAGATGGCCACCTTATATGTCTCTGTAATGCAAGCTGTGAGAGGGGCTGCTCTATAGCAGCAAGAGCATCTTCTTTTTATTATGTTTGCTATTGTCCCTCCACACACCCATTTTATATTAAGCTTTTTGTAGTAGGACTTCAGATTGTGTTAGTCTGTAAAGCAAGAATGGGCAACTTCCAGTCATCTGGGGGGACTACATTTCTTCCATAGAACCCACCATGAACTACACCCTTCCTGGTTGCCACTAAAATTCCCACTGCTGAAACAATGATCACCACTACAGTGGCAGTGGCAACCTCCTTGAAAATTTTGGAAGGAAATTAGTATATTGTGTTTTAGGGTACTAATCTCTGTAAACCATCCATAGAGTTTCACCTATTTGGAGGTACAGCATTTTTAAAAAAAATTCTATAGAGGTATAAAAATATAAGAGATAACAGAGACATTAAATTAAACAAGGTGCATGGGGAGCACATGCAATCTTTACAGGCAAAAGCACGTTCCCAGGAAACATCCGGGAGTGTGATTCTGCTTCTAAAGAAGGCATGCACTGTGTATGTGTCTTGGTTCTTTCCTAAACCGCTGGGGATTTTCTGCCATGACAAGGTGACAGGAGGCTAGCAAAAACAGCTGTGGGAGGAGACATGGGTAATCTTCATTCTTTCTGTTACTCACCACATTAAGCAGGGGAGGGAAGGTTTCACAGATTTTAGAAAGAACAGAACAAAGCAGGAGCTGAAGGGGCCTATAAGACCTTGAATCCAACCCTCTGCTTTGTTTCTACACGTGGTCACCATCCAGCTGCAGGCCTGCACCTTTCCAGCTTAGCAAAGGTGACTCAACATGCTCGCTTGGTATGATTTTTTTCATGGAGATGTGCATTTATGAGACAGGCACTACAGCATGTGAGAAATACCTTGCGGACTGCCGTTCAAGAAACAATCGGAACTGTTCCAAATTGAGTCTGTCATTTAACAAGTCTGTAATGCTGTATGACACAGCTTCTTTGGAGAGGTCTTGACTTGGGCGTTCTATCAAATCAGGATACCGTGGGACCTTGTCTTTCTCAACCGCCAAATCCTAATCAAAAAATTGTGCAAGACAATCTAAATATCTCATAACCTTTTTCCCCCCAGTCCCTGTAGATTTCTCTGTCTTCCTTCTTTCTACAGATTGCTAGCACTTTTAGTTCTTTTGTGAAATTATATTTCAAGACCAAATATTAAGAAGCGGGTACATATAGAAAGATCCAACATAGGACACTTTTCACAAAGGATGACCATCACATAAGCTCCTATTACTGCAAAGATGGCTTATGTGGCAGTAAATCATTGATGGGAAGGAAATGGGAAGGAAATATTTGTTTTGTGATCTCTTGAGATGAACAATTACATGACTTTAAAAGTCTTTAGATATATCCACCATCTTTAAAAGGACAAAGAAAAGATATCAGCTACACCAATTCCTTGCTTATAACATTATCATTTTGGAGAAGTGCCTTAAAAATGAGTTGGTGTTTCTTAAGACATGTCCACTTCACTCTAACGGTTACATACAGTAACCAACCTCTACCAGCAACAGCAATATTACAGCCCAAGTTTTCCATGCTTTGAAGATCGCCATCCTTATGTCTCAGTGTGCAAATACAGGCTTGGGTTATTCAGTCATCAGGGAAGGGTCCTCTGTTTACTTTACATATCCTAGGATTCTGCCCAGGTGTTCAACACAGATTCTGAACCTGGGGTTGGCACAAACTGACCTTTTTATGTAAGATGCATTCATAACTTCCTCCACTTTCAGTCTGGAACTTTTGACCCAGTCCCCATGAGTGACAAATGCAAAAAGAGCTAGTACTGCAAGAGAACCTGTACATTTTCTCCAGAGTTGTGGCTATGATGCCACACAAGCAAACTTTTCCATTTGCAGGGTAGTTGGGTATTGACAAGAAATGGACCTATACTAGTGTATGGGTGTGTAGTGACCACTGGATGTATCATGTGTATCATGTGTCTCCCTAAAACCATTGTGCACATGCATTAGCAAAGAAATGTGTGGGCCCTGAGAATCCAAGATTTATCCAGAACAAAACTGGTTCTACCCTAAAAGAAATACTACACATTAATGTTTACTAAAAGGCTATCAAGATGCAAAAGTGATTTGTTGAAGAACTCTTCTAATATAAAATGCTGGGTCCAATTCATGCAAACACATAGAGTTCATTGATAGCCACCTGAAATCCAGCGAGACAAAGCGAGACAAAGGCTGTTCTCTGAGGCAAAACTGCACCACTTGGTTCTAGGAACTATTCACAGACCCCCATAAATTTTCCCCTCTGTTTCTTTCTTTCTTTGCTTATTTGTGTGATGAAAATCACAAATTTATGCAGCAAACTGATTCCCGTGAAATGCCAGTTATAGCTTTCAAGTCATCCTGTGGTCTGTTTGTATGAACTGAGCTGTTGTTCGAAGAGTGTTCCATGAAAGCCAATCATGTTGAGCTGCAGCTTGTAACATTCTCAAAATTTTTGTCCCAGTTGAGAAATACAAAGTGTTAACCTTCTGGTGCTAGGCAAAAATAAAGAGTTTGTTTTTGTTAATAGGTGCTCCTCTTACCTCACTCTTCTTGGAAATTCTCTCTTCATGCATTGCCTGCAACTTTCTAAAGTACACTGAGTCCAGCTGTCGAGTTTCTTCCACCAGCCCCACCTAATAAAAATAATATCTTAGGTCATCCACACAGTACACATTATAGAAAGAAAGATGAAGGGGTAGGAGAGGCAGGCTGCCAGTGACAGTGGGTAGGAAAGAACTACATTTGCCAACAACAAGACAGATGTTTAGAAGCCATATCACTCGACATTGCATCCCCTGGAGCAGATGATTCAAGGAGAAGATTTGCTGAAACAGCTTAAGCAAACACTGCCATTCAAAGCAGGATAAGCTTCTCTCTCAGTGGGTAGATACACAACCACAAATAGGGAAAGCATGAAGGTCACTGAAGCCTTGTGCAAACTCAAGAGCGGATGTAAGATTTGTAATCAGAAGGAACATCTACAAATTTAATATAAATTCATTGAGCATAATGTTTTAACTTGTTTGAAAAAGAAGAAATATTCAGAGGCGTTCTCCTGAAGCACACTGAAAAGAACATTACTCTTTTTAATAGCAAAGTCAGGTGGCGAGTGCCACCAATACTGTAGCCAAAGTGGGAGCACTAAGAAAGCACTAAGAAACAAGAGGAAGGTATCAATATGTTTAGAGGAATGAGGACATCTGTAAAAGTACTCAAAATTCTTTTTAAAATCCTGAGGGTGTAAAACTAAAAAACAGCCCAATGTGGAATGTGCATGTGCAGTAGTCATACAATTGAAAAAGAAAATTAGAATGTGGGTAGGGGTAGTAAAATGCCCTGTTTGTAGGCAATGACTTTCTGGGAGTCCTGAACAAGAATGCTTTTCATCATGTGACACTCAGATTGCTATTACTATAATAAAGAAGGGAACAAGGTTGCATCCTGCCAGTTAGGTTGGCTCACATCTCCTCAAGTTTACAGATAATTCAAGCCATATTTTAATACAACATCTTGTTAAAGTTTGATAATTGTAGCAACCATAATAATCAAAATTAGGATCCTGTTTACAAAGTATAATTTCAGTTTCCCTGTATGTGAATTTTGTTTACCACATTCCTGGTGTCAGAGTTCTCTGTGTTGAAACTAATGTTGGCATATCCATCTGGTCCTGCTTACTCAGACAAAAACTGGGGAAGGCAGACAGATTCTCTAGTGCAGGGGTCTCAAACTCGTGGCCCGCGGGCCAATTGCGGCCCATGGGATGATATTTTGTGGCCCCCTAAACTATATCAAAGTTTAGTGATAGTGCGGCCTGCGCGTTTTGCTCACACGCACCTGCGTGAGTCGTTACCCTGGGCGCAATGTTCCCTCTAAGCTGCATGCCGGGACGGGCAGGGCACGGGGGAGGGGCCCTGCAGCCTTCAAAGTGCCAGCGGCGCCCGGGCCGGCCTCCGGGAGTGACGCGGGATGAGCGGCCCACCACCCCCGCGGTGGTCAGCCTTGGGCGGCAGTATAGCTCGCAATATATGTTTTTTGAGTTGAGAGCAGAGGTGAAAACCTTCATGGAGAAAGATGGGATGGCTGTTCCTGTACTAAGTGATCCCAAATGGCTCATGGATTTAGCTTTTCTTGTTGACATCACACAGGAGCTGAATGTACTGAACAAGAAATTACAAGGCCAGGGGCAGCTTGTCAGTGCTGCCTATGACAATGTCAGAGCATTCGCCACAAAACTTGTGTTATGGAAAGCCCAGCTTTCTCAGACAAACCTCTGCCATTTCCCAGCATGCAAGGCACTCATGGATTCTGGCACACCATTCAGTGGTGAGAAGTATGCTGATGCCATTGTAAAGCAACAGGAAGAATTTGATCACAGGTTTGCAGATTTCAAGACACACAGAGCCACTTTTCAAATTTTTGCTGACCCCTTCTCCTTCGATGTGGAAGATGCCCCCCCCCCCCGTGCTTCAAATGGAGCTAATTGACCTGCAGTGCAATTCTGAACTCAAAGCCAAGTTCAGGGAGGTGAGTGGAAAAGCAGACAAGCTTGGACAATTTTTGAGAGAATTCCCCCTTACCTTCCCTGAGCTTTCCAAGATGTTCAAGCGGACCATGTGCCTTTTTGGGAGCACCTATCTGTGTGAAAAGCTCTTCTCCACCATGAACTTTCATAAGTCAAAGTTCAGGTCCAAACTTACTGATGAGCATCTTCAAGCCATACTGAGGGTCTCAGTTGCTTCCACCCTCAAGCCAAATGTGGCTCAGCTGTGTAAGAGGAAGCGCTGTCAGGTCTCTGGCAGCAAGGAGTAGGAGGAAGTAAGAGAAGCCTATGTTCTGAAGAACCATTCATGTTCTGAATTATTATTAGTAAAGATTGAGAAGATTGGATCAGTTGTATTTTTTTTGGAATACTTGAAATCCTTTTTTTTGTGGAATACTTGATGTGGCCCAGCCTCACCCAGACTCTACTTCCAGCGGCCCCCAGGTAAGTTGAGTTTGAGACCCCTACTCTAGTGGGCTCTGTCCCCCTCTTTTAGAAAACCCTCACTGCCCTGCACATAACTTACAACCACATTACTTGTTCACCTGCCTCAATGCCAGAACATGTTCGTCTTTCTGTCTTTCCTGTTGCATTGGCCCAGTTAGCTAAACCTAGAGGGTAAATTTAACTTAGGGTTTGCACTGATCCGGAGAAGACAGATCAGGGTTCCAAATGTAGACCCCCACCTATCATTTTTGCCTGATTTCTCTAGTTTGCAAATTTCCCTCCAAGGCATGACAGGTGTACTTTCCATATGTGTTGGACCGCATCTGCCATAATTCCTGAACTGCATGGCCACCAGGAATCTGGACATTAAGGGAGTTGCAGCCCAAAAAATCTGGAAGGCATCAGTTTGGGAGGGCTAAGCTAAAGGGTAGCTCATGGGCCTTGATTAAGATTTGAACCTGTGTGCAACTGTACACACTGTGCCAAGAGAAGCTACACCCCTGATTTGTATGGATGGCTTCTTACAGTTCTTTCAACTATAAGTACAAGTCTGAAATGTTCAGTAGGTTCTGGCCATACCACTATTGCTGAAGATTACACAAGATAGTTTGCCTTGGCTTTAACAGAAAGAAGACCTTGACAATGGGTCTTTATAAATTATTGGAAGATCAGTTTAGGAAAATAAACTGCTGCACACTCTTCAGTTCCCTACGAATAATGAGAAGTTCCAGGGGCAGCAGTCCCCTCTTCTCAGTTCTGATGGGTATTTAATTTAAACCAAGAGAGCAAGAGATCCCCAACTATCTCTTAACCATTAGTTCCAAATGAGGATATATCAACCAACTATTCTTAGCTATTAGCGTAACAATGGCATCCTGCAAAAGACCATACGGCCAAGCGACATTTGTTGATTCAGTGGAACATCACAGAATTATAGAGGTGGGAGGGATCTTGCAGGTCATGCAGTCCAACACCCCTGTTCATTGATGAATCTGTAATGCAGGATGCAACTACAGTGTCCCTGAACGATGGCTGTCTAGCCTCTACCTAAATATTTGTAGCAAGAAAGAGTTCATCATCTCTTAAAGCAGTCTGTCCCACTAGGGCCCTAACTACAGACAAAAAGGTCAAACACCTGGCCCAGCTTCTTACTGAAGTAATTCTTAGTCTAATTAGTAGGATGTTGAGCATTTTACTTGCTGGCAGAAGCAGAAATATAACTGCTATGGTAACTTCTTTTGCTTCTGCTGTTGCAAAATTGCATTGCATATATTAGAAATGTAGTTATTATTATGGTTAATTACATGGTTTAGTTTCACAGAATTATGTCTGTATAGAAGTTATGTTTAGTTATTATGCTTTATGGTTTCAACAATAAACATTGAATGGAAAACAGCTAACCATAGACTTTAAACTTTGAGCTGAATATTTTGTAGTAACATGGGAGTAACTAAAGTTGGACATTCTCTTTACACAATCTTGCAAATGAATGAATGATGGATAAGCTCCAAATGCAGGAACTTCAAGTGCCACTGGTATGTAAAATGGAATGATGAGAGTTTACAATAGAGTAGCTTTCTCCATTCTTACCTGACATCACCTACCTTCATGAAAAATAAGGTTAACAGTTATCAGTGGCTGTTGGACATGATAGCTACATATTACTAGACATGATGGCTACATATTACTTGCACAATCAGAGGCAGTATGCCTCTAGATTTCAGGTGCTGGGGATAAAGAATTCTCATGTTTTCCAATTACCTTTCCTAAAGTATCTCTGTCTTGTTCTATCATCTTCATCCATGGAACCAAGAGAAGGGTGAGGATGTACTCTTCTGCTGGGTCAAAAAGATCTTCAAACGGTGGGTCAATTTTGTTGTAAATCTCATTTTTTGCACTTTGCTGTAATCCAATATTCATAGCAGCAGAAGGAGCGATGTAATTGGCATAAAGGAACTGTTTTTCATGGAAAGAGAAGAAAACAGTTTAGTAAATGTCTATGGCAATAGACACAAAAATACATTTGTCTAAGAAGGAAAAAAAAGTTTAAAACATACTTGCAATACCCTATTGGTATCCTATGTAATTTTCTATTCTCATTCTGCTGTTAATAATTACACTGATTGGGTTCACATGATTGCCATGGCTCTTCATCTGTTTAAGTCATTATGCACCTGCAGATGCCATTCTGAATATTCAAACTGCTGCAGTGGTGTCTCATGGGGGACTATAGGCATGAAAGGGTGAAATAACCTTCAAAGAACCCATAACATTTGCATAACCTATAGTTCTCAGGCTGGGATGACATGACAAACCATGGTCCTGACTTGAATATAGAGTACCAACTGCATTTGGAAAAAAGCTTGTATGGCTGAAACATTAGCATCCAAAGTAGACATGGTTGGCCAGGTGCACACACCCACAGGGCTGCCCTGCAACAACCCTCTTCAGTTGTTCATCCTGTTCTCCACTGCTACCTGTGTGTTCATCTGTATCTCACTGTGGCCTAGAGAATGGAAGTGAAGGGAAGAAAGAGCAGGAAATTCTACTGCCTTGTCTGCTGATTCCCTACTGACTCTCTGCCTATTCAGCAAGCAGTAGCAATAATGAGAAAGGGGATGAGGAGCATGAGCAGCCTGTGACAGTGGCAGCGAGGAGGTAGATCACTGAGAGAAGGGAGCCACCAACCAGGTTCACTCGTAATAGCAGCCTATATTTTAACCAAACCATGGGTTATTGTACATGAGGGGGATTGAGCAACTTCTGTTTTTCTTCAATGACCTACAGTTGGCTCATTTGTAGGTTGTTGAGTGCAATGAGTGCCAACACCAAGATCACTGGATCTATGACCCGGGACTCTATCCTTCTATACAATGCCTTCTATACAATGCTGCCTTCTATACAATGCTGGCAAGCCATAGGATTGTAGCCCATGCTCTTTATGAAGCATTCTATTTGAGCATCAAGATTGTGATCTTTAAGATTAATAATTAAGAAAGGTAATGCTAATTTGATAGGCATGAAAATGATAGTAAAGTAAATACTATCTAATACAGCTCTGTTACTATCTAATACAGCTCTAATCAGACATTTAATAATACCAATTAAAAGAAGACTTATGGAAAACTAAAGCCACAGCTACTTCACTTTTCCATATGATCCACACTTTCCACATGCAAAAAGCCACAGTAGCAAAGAACAGAGCAGACATAAAATATAGGCCATTTCATTTGGGCAGAGCTGAGCAGCTTCAAGGTTGATTGATTGCCCTCCTCTGACTCATAAACCAACACACAGCAGCTGAGAAAAGGAAAGGATGAACGGAAGAAAAAAAAAGTTGTCCTTCATGGAAATGCTATCTTACCAGTATGTCTATTTTACAGCCTCAAATATTGTGCCCAAGATATTATCTTTATTCATATGAAAAGCAGAGTGTTGCATGGTCATTATTTACAGGATAATTCTGTGCAGGCATTAATATGTATTGTATGGAATGCTAATTCTTGCAATCTATTATATAATGTTTTCTTATGCTACAAATGCTATATGTGAGGCTGCTTAAAAGCTACAGTTTGGTTTCCTTTCCATTCAGATACAGAAAGGTTTCTTGACTTTACTGACTTTGACTTTATTTTTCTCAACGACACAAAATGGGAATCTTCCTTATATTAAGGCAGATTATACATCTGTTGAACTCCATGTAATGAACGTCCCCAGTGACCAAAAGCCAGAATAATTTCTTGAAGGCATGCCAAGGCTTTATAGCCTTCAGCTTGCTAGGAAAACCACTAGAGATAATTGCCATGAAGCTGCCTTCCCCAGTCATTCTATAGATAAGAGCTGCCTTTGCAGTGAAAGGGTCCTACTGTTTGCCTTACTGGAGTAGCTTTGCTCCTAAGAAGGGGCTGGGAGTGCACCTTGTGTGCATACTGGAAAACTCTGTGGTGGTGGCAGAGAGGATCTTTATAAAATCCATGGCAATTGGCATTTCCTTGCATGGCCTGGGGAGAACAACTGATGCATTTTTGGAGGCTGGCAGAGTATTCTCTGGCATAGTCAAAAACCAATATAGTCACAGTAAAGAACAAGGTAAGCTTTCTTTTGTTTGTTTATAATCTACATCCATATTTTTATCATTATATTCAAGAAACTATGTATCATCTTTGGCAATGGTGTTTTTCCTTCTTTCTGAGCATTCTTGAATATAGAGTGCCTTGTCTGGACCAGGCTTCCATGGTTAAAACAGGGACAAAATTTGACATAGGGAAAGTCTTTTTAAAACAACAGAAACACTTTTTGCCCTAAGGAAACGCTGTTCTAAACTGGGGCAGAGTGTTCAATATAGGGACCTGTGAGCAAAGAGAGAAAGCTCCTGTTGGCACCACTGTAATGGCATTTAAAACAGCAGCAGTAGCAACAAAAACCCAGGCACACAAGGCTAACTAAATATGTGAAGGATGTCACTTCTGCTTTGACTGTCAGACAGTGTCATGCCAAGGGTAGGCATAGTTGGTAGTTGTTGAGGGTCCACACCTGAGCAAGGACCTATGGACAAGAGCTCCCTGAACTTGCTGTTATTTGTCATTGCAGCCTGCATCTTCATCTGCCTCTCACTCTGGTCGAGTCAAAAAGAGTTGGTGAGAAGAAGAAACAATAAATGCCACTTCTGCTTTGCCCACTAGAGCCCTACCTGTCAAGGAAGCCAAGGGCAGCAATGATGGGGAAAAGCTTGAAGAACAGTTGCACCTGGTGACAATAGCAATGAGAAAGTAGATTCACTGAGGGAGGGAACCCATTGAGGATGCTTTTCCCAAGGGCCTAGGAAGCCTGGAGCTAACTCTGATGAGGATCTTTCCCAGTCTTACCTCCTGATGCCAGAGGCTGAACCTAGAAATTTCTCCATGTAAGCTATGTGCTCTACCATTGAGTTACAGTTGTTCTCCTCGTGAGGCCTGCTCACCTTGTAACACTTTCCCTGCTGCATCACCCTGCACATTTTGTACATCTGTACTGGAATACTGACCTGAATTTGTAAATATCTATTTCAATCTGGAAAAGGCCTTTGGAAGTAACTTTACAAAATGCATTCTGTTCAATTCATATAGATTATATAAACGCACTACTGGGATAGTCAATTTGTATCATTATGACTATTAGAAGCGTAATTGTACAAATATATTAAAACAGAAAATAACAAAATCCATAAAAGCCAACTACCATAAATAAGACAACCAGCAACTACGGGAAGAAAATGTGTGTACTGCTCAATTTTTCAAGAGAAGAGCACAGTGGTGCAATTACTAAAAAGGTTCTGTCTTCACTTGTAGCAAAGTTATCCTGACAGCAGCAGAGAAGAGCCTCTTAAAGAGCGATCTTAATGAAAACACTGACTTGGCTTTAAATGACAGACAGAACCCCATAGAATCTCAGCTTGTGCATGTACATGTGTGCATAAAAAGGATGCTTGACTACATGGACCTTCCATCTGTGCTAGCAGGGATCCTCTTGCGTTGTTACACATCACAGATAACAATGTCTCCATCATACAAATTTCAACTTAAACTCACTGAAAATGAAAATCCTGCATTATATGAACATAAAGAATTCTCCTGAGTCAGAGCAAAAGCCTATCCAGTCCAGCATTGTGGTCCCACAGTGATGGCCAACCAGACGCCTATAAGAAGCCCTCAAGCAAACAGAAGCACAATAGCACCGTCCTACTGCTGTTCTCTAACTGGTAGAGAGATATATCACCTCTCTTGTTATGTGCCATCCAGTTGTCTCTGACTTAGAGAGATCCTATGAATTAATGCCCTCCAAAATGTCCTATCTTTGACAGCCCTGCTCAGCTCAAGGATAATTCAAGGCTGTGGCTTTCTTTATTGTCATTTTGGTCTTTTTTTTTTTTTTTTTTTTTGTTCTTCTGCCTACACCTGTAATATTGGGGATTATCCATCAAACTCTCCATCATGACTAGTCGGTAGTGATAGCATTATCATCTGTAAATTTATCTAATCCTTTTTGAGCTGTCCAAGTTGTTGGATATCAGAACACTTGTGGTAGTACTTTCCATAATTTATGCCCTCTGGGTAAGTAGTTCCTTCTTTCTCTCCTGAATCTCCCAATCTTTGGCTTCATTGGTTGACCTCAGGTTTTAGGGAGGGAGAAAACCCCTCCCCTTTTGCGCAAGGGAAAAAAGCCTCTCCTTTTCTTCAAAGCATGCATAATTTTGTACACCTCTATCATGCCCCCTCACTTACATGTGCCTTTTTTCTAAACTAAAATGCCTAAGGCATTGTAACTTTTCTTTATAGGGAAGTTGTTACAGCCCCTTAATCATTTTGGTTGCTTCCAGCTTAATTTTCTAACCATGTTTGTTATAGAGTTAACTTTAATACATGATGGTAACCAATCCCAATGTTGCTTTTTTCTCAGAGTTTTTTCTCAGACTCTCTGTTAATGCTTATTTAGCTTCCCTGCTCCATTTGTACTTTCTAAACTGTTGCTGGAGCAGCAAACGTCTAATTGTCCACTGCACAGGACGGGGCTTCAAATAATTCCAGTATGATACTGTCCATGACTTGAAAAAATACACTTTAACTGGGTGTCTATAAATGCCTGAAAAGTTCAGACGAAAGGCACAGTACATATAATAGCATATCAGAGTTCATTTATTCAGTGATTTATTTTTTACTTCAGTAAAAGAAGAATGCATTTTCCTATATTGCCTCTATATATTTTTCTATAATATAAAATGTATTAAGTTAGAGATGGGCCTAAAGCAAATTCCAGATGTGGACTCTGCTCACAGTTTGCATCTTTATATAATTTATAAAGGCAAAGTCTGGAGACAGTAAATCCAGTTCCACTACCCTCAAAACTTCAGATTTAAAAGTCCTAAACCCAGGAAAGCAAATAGGCCATGTCTTGGCTTAGTCAAGATAGACCATGTCCTC